GGCGGGTCGGGTACGGTTATGTCAAAACCCGTACCCGACCCGACCCATTTACATCCCTATTGATCAAAGAACAATAATTTAATTGGTGGCTTCCAATCAATATATCCTTGATAGAAATTCTAATCCCCTGCCCACGGTGGGCAGTGCCCACCACTTTGTTTTATATGAAAAACGTATTCTATTTAATTGAAAAACGTATTCTCAGAATACGTTTTTCATGTAAAATAAAGTGGTGGGCAGCCAGGTGAGTGGGACTATCCTTGATAGTACCTAGTTTACTAAAAGATACAGACGACGTGGCATGAGTTGGCACACGCGTCTACGTCATAACGGGAAAAACCCTCTGAAAGACCAGAGTTGCTCATCTCGGACCATATAAGTGGAATAAACAAACCCGACCATTATGGTGTGATAAATTTATCCTTAATTTAAATGATCTTTATTTAATTTAAAATAATTTTATTTAATTTAAAATAATAATATTTAATCTATAAAATATTAATTTAAGTAAATTTGTTTAATTTTCAAAATATTGTTTAATACAAAATAATTTAATTTAATTTAAAATAATAATATTTAATCTATAAAATATTAATATAATTATTCTTATTTAATTTAAAAAATATATTAATATAAAATAATTTTATTAGTTTATAATAATATTATTTAATTTATAAAAATATTAAGTTAATTATTTAAAACGGTAATTTAATGTATTTACCATAGACTTTTATCCACTTTGGTAATCATGGGACAATTTGTATCCAAAATCTGAGGTGACAAATTGGAGAGATTAATTTGTCCAATCCCATCCTCTCTCTAGTAAACGAGGTCTATGTTTTTACTTTTATACTTTGTTTAGATTATGAAGAGGAAATTGCAAATTTGGTCCCGTTAGATTGAGACGGTTTTACTTTTAGTTCCAAGAGGCACATTTTCAGTCCTTAACTAATGTTTGTTTCGCATTTGGTCCCAAATTCAGTACTTAATTAATTTTTGTTCCCCATTTGGTCCCAAAATTTAACGGACCGTGAAGTCACCGTTAACCCTCAGGACTAAAATTGCGACCGTGGGACTAAAATTGGACCTTCCCAATTTAACGGGACCAAATTTGTAGTAGTTGATATTATTTTTTTTTATTTTTTATAAACTCTATAGTTATATTTTATTTTTTTATCAACCATTATAATTATAATAAAATTAAATGATGGTTTTTTAAATATATGCAATACTTAACTAAAATATTTAAAATATAGAAAGCATTGTATTGAAATTAAATTTTTTAATACATTAATGATAATATAAATTTAAATTTATTTGAATTTATATATATATATATCAAATATATTTAAGTTTATATTTTTTTATATTACAAATTATATAAATATTTATTAACGTATTTAAATACACACACACACACACACACACACAATAGATCAGTCCGATCAACCAATTCTGACTGGTTCATTAGAAACCAGTTTGTTCAAAGGAATCCAACTTTTTGACCATTCTAGATTCAACAGTCAGTTTAACCCAATTTTAAAAATAATAGTGGTTGATATTATTTTTATTTTTATTTTTATTTTACGTTTTAAATTTTTATTAACCTCTACAATTGTATTTTTTTATCAACCAATATATCTATAATTAAATTAAAATTTATTTGTAAATATATTTATTATTTAATTAAAAATATTTTAAATACAAAAAAAATAATAATATAAATTTAAATATATTTGAATTTATATATATCAAATATATTTAAATTTATATTTTTGTTATATTAAAAAATATAAATATTTATTAACTTATCAAAAAATATATATTATTGACCAGTCCATATAACTAATTCTAATCAGTTCATGTTTGGTTGAGTTTTCAAACCAATAGTATTTTATATTACTTTTATTTTTATTTTTATTTCAAAATTTTGTTAACCCCTACAGTTCTATATTTCTAATAAAATCAAATAATAATTTTTAAATATATTTATTATTTAGTAAAAGTTAATTTTAAATATAGAAAACATTGTATAGTTATTATTTTATTTTATTTTATTTTTTTGTCTCGAAACTAAATTTTTACTATCACTGATTGTTTTATACTCACGGGATAAAAAATTGCAATAAAAAAAGTAATAAAATTAAGGAAATTGCAAATTTGGTCCCGTTAGATTGGGACGGTCCAATTTTAGTCTCACGGTCGCAATTTTAGTCTTGAGGGTTAACGGTGACTTCACGGTCCGTTGAATTTGGGACCAAATGCGGAACAAACATTGGTTAAGGACTAAAAATGTGCCTCTTGGGACTAAAAATGAAACCGTCCCAATCTAACGGGACCAAATTTGCAATTTCCTCGATTATGAATGTGAAATAGAGAACATAATATTAATTGTAAATGCATTGTGATATTTGACTATGACTTGTTCAAATTATAATCTAGTATAATGTCTATATAATCATATTTTTTGTTTATTACTTGTTCATAACTTTCAATTGCACCCGTTTGATGATTGAGACACATGTAATATTAACCACATTATCATCGAACCAAATAGAACATAAAAGTTCACTATGACAATACACAACTATTAAAAATGTAAAACCATCCTTGAAACTAATACCTTCATATAGACTAGATTTTATTGAGCTTTGTATTTTTTGTTTTCGGTAAGGTACTTTGAATTAAACATTTTTTACTATATTTTCTGTTATAATTTTATCTTTTTCTTCATTCTATTTAAATAGAAAAATATATTGACAAGAACCAAAAAAAAAAAAAGTGCCACAGTAAGACCATCGTATTATTTGTCAAGATTTTGGCTTATTTTTATATATATTTTTTATAAGAGAAGGAGGCAACGCCTACAGAACTAAACTATCATAGAACGTTCCGAGAATAAGACACCTCGATCATATCATGATATAACCAGATGCTCGCCATAGGCGGAGGTAGGGTTGTCAGAAAAACCCACCGGCCGCGGGTAACCCGAGAAATCGGGTCGGGTATACCCGGTAGTGGCGGGTTTCGGGTCGTGCTTGGGTTTTATTTCTATACCCGCGGTCCGGGTCGGGTCGGGTACAGGTTTAACAAAAAAACCCATTACCCGACCCGTTTACTCGGTGGATTTTTTTACCGACCCGACTTTTTACCCGCCCGATTACCCGCACACCTAATAACTAGTAGATACAAATAAATATACAAAAAATACATATTCCAAAAATATTAATTTAGTAACTAAAATATTTTTAAATTTTTATATATATTGAAGAATGAAGATGGGGTATATTCATATAATTTGGACATAACTTTTTGTTACTTCTTCTATTTTTATAAGTATGAGCATCATATATATAAATATAATCAATTTATAATGTTTATACAAAGAGAATAGCTCTAATTATTAGAAATAACATATATATAATAAATAATAATAAACTAGATAATAAGTTTATACGTGCATAGTTTGTTCTATATATCTACATTTTTACAACTATTACAAACTATGAGTAACTAAGTATTATTCAAGAAATATTCTATGAATAAATCAATGAAGTTGTGTTTATTTGTGAAGGTATGATAAAAGTTCAAATGCATGCGTTTTTTTATGTACATGGTCGGGTCGGGTCGGGCGTAGGGTAATCGGGCGGAATTCGGGTAAACGGGTAAAAAAAACCCGAACTAATTTGACCGACAATACTTATTCGGGTAACCCGATTACCCGACGGGTACCCAATTACCTGACGGGTAAAACCCAACTCGAATCCGGTGATGAGTAATCGGGTAGCGGGTCGGGTACGGGTACAGTTTTTAACTGGC